TATATCATGGAGAATAAATCAAATCTAATCCGAGGGTGACAATGTATATCAATTTTTACCATAGACTTCTAATTTCAACAAATTGCAGCTTTAAACCCTATGCTAGATTTGCATTTGAAAATTTGTTTTTTTAGAACAACAAATTTAATTTGGGATATGTGGATTAAAAAATTCAATCTCAAGGGAGGGAGCAAGTGCGAATCATCATTGAGCCAATTAACTCATGTTAGCAGAAAATTTGTTATTGTCGCCTGTGTTAAATGAATTATAAAACATATATAAGATACAAAATTGATAGGAGTTAACATTAGAACTGCTCTTTCTTTAAATGAAAATATTGTAAGTTTTAGAATAGTTGTTAACTTTTTATTTCTTTTTGAGTTTTTTACATTATTTTTATTTTTAAATTAATGAGTAAACTAGTGAAAATTGAATAGAGGGTAAAAGTGACTTATCAAAATTTAGGGTTCAATTTGCTATAATTGAAAGTTTATGATAAAATTTGATAAAATTTACTAAGTTTAGGAGTAAAAATAATCTTTTTTTATCAAATATAATTTTAAATGTATTTATTATAATAATGCTAAAACAAAGCATTAATTATAATTAAACATGTAGATTAAGTAATGTGTTTGAAAACTAAACTATGATAAATTACTATGTATAACATTAGTTTGGTTAGTACAAAATGCTAAAAGTTTATATATGACTTTATATACCCATAATTTAATATTAGCTTGTTAAAAACAAAATATAATTAAATTATCTATACAAATATAGAAGGAAGATGATGTGCATTAAAAAATAATAAGAAAGATAATGAAAGTTAAAATATTTATCAAATTTTTTTAGTAAAATTAAATTTCTGTTTGTAAAAAATATTTTTAAGTAGAAAATATACAAAATATTAGCAAAAAAAATAAAGCGAAAATAACTTCTTTTAAATGAAAAATTATTCCAAAAATCACATTTCTTGAAATCACAGTTTTTGGCAAAAACATTAAAAAAAAAAAAAGAAAAGAAAAACAAGGAGGAAACTATGGAAAGATTTGAATGCAGGCAATCAACAAGAGTCAACTGGCCAAGGCTTCATTTTTAACAAATTGTCAATATACGTAGATTTAACAAAATTCCATGGGCACATACATCGGCCCCTAACTCCAATTTAACAAAATAATCTCTCAACGTAAATATTACTCAAATAATTAGAGCGAGTATATCAACTATAAAGTATTTTAATTGAGATAATTAAAATTCAAAATCATGGGTGATTTTTATAGCAGTTGGAATACATTTTTTATTTTAGTTTCCGACATGGAATAACTTCTATTCTAATATTTTGTAAAAAAAAAAAAATTTAAAAATTCCACCTTGACAAGATATTTGAAGAATCTACAATTTCTACTACACTAATTGTATTTATCAATCATAATTCTTAATTTAGAGAACTATACAATCTACTCTACCATATAAGTGAACCACTTGGAATGTCGCCTTAAAAGATTTTTCCTCTTTTTCACATGGTGATAAATCCTACCGAAATTTACCGTGCAACTTCTACCTACTTGGCTCACTTGGAAGCTTTTCAGCCATCAACATAACTTCTAACATACACCTTGCATAACTGACAAGTCAATGCCCTATGCATAAATCTGTGGAGCCGTTAACATCACGTTATTTATCGTGGTAAAGAGAACATACCATGATGATGAATTTTCTCTCTTTTCAAAAGAACTCATCATATCCGGCTTGGAGCTCTTTCACGAACTGACTCTGTTATGATCACAATTCTTCTTCATGTACCCAGATTACCTGCATCCCCAACAACCTTTCTTTTGCACAAAGTCTTTCTTCTTTTTCCAATTGCTAGCTTCCAGTGCTCAATATTTTTGTTAAGTATGCCATCCACTCTGCAAGCTTCTTTCCTCTGACAAAAGTTTTACTAGTAATTTCAGCAAAATTTAAAGTCTCTTTCTTGTACATTAAGATTAGTTTCATGTGTTCATAAGAAGGTAGAAGTGACAAGATGAACCTGATTGCCTTATCTTCATCATCTATCTTCACTTCGATCAACTCTAGCTTAAAAATTATGCCATTGAGAACGTTAAGATGACCTGAGATTTTAGTACCTTCCTCCATTCACAGTGTGTGAAACTACTCCTTTAGGTGTAACGCATTTTTTCTGATTTGAGATGCCATTTTTTCCGATGCAACGCATCACACTTCTCCTAAAGTTCTTTAGCTGTTGAAATTTCATGTACGTTTTTAGAGATATTCTTAGCCAAACATGTTCTTATCGCGCTTGCAACCCTCAAATCCATTTCCTCCCAATCTTTATAACTCATGTTAGACTTCTTAAAACCTCTGTTGGAACTAGCGTTGAACTCCACTGGATCACCACCATCGCTGCTTAGCTTTTTAGAAGCATTCGCCACCGTTTGATCTACCTTCAAGGCTTTGTGTAATCCAAATTATATTAGCACATCCTTGACTTGCACTTGCCACAAGCTGAAGTTGGTCCTTCCATCAAATTTCTCCACATCAATATTCAATGGATTCATAAACATCGACATATCTGCTTCATACTCTTAGTAAATTTGCAAATAGTGAACAACTCGTACTATTCACAAAAGTGTAGCTCGTTTCAAGAAATATTTTCTGATGTGGGAGTTCAGGTAAATGTTGCAATCACAGAGCATACTTAGAAATTCAAGAAACTACAAACTTAGGGGGCGTTTGGCCCACGGTTCGGAATCAGTAGCCTGGGTTTGTGAAGTCGGGGGTTTAATGTTGGGGTGTTGTGTAGTCTGGATTTGGGTAGCCTGTGTTTGGGGTGCAGGATTGGGTAGCCTATGTTTGTGTAGCCTGCAGGATTGGGTAGCCTGTATTTGTGTAGCTGTGTTTGGGGTGCAGGGTTGGGTAGCCTGGATTTGGCAGATTTTTTTATTTGTTTTTTTTTTTGGCAAAAGATTAAGTACATGATATAATCTAATTAAATTTATAAACAATTTTTTAAAAGACAATTAATATATTTATTTTGAAATTTACATTTCTTAATCTATATATTTTTCAACCATGAATTTCTGCATTCTGTGGACATTTGTTAGTAGAGCAAATTAGTTTCTGTAACTACTACTTATGGTTAGAGTTTGTTATTCACAGTTTTACTTGTAATTATACTATAAATAGCACACAAGCTTTGTTATCATTTAATGAGAAAAGCTTATCGCACAATTGACTCTCTCCTCTCTCCTCAACATTCTCGTTATTATTTTTTAAATTTCTCGATATTACTTTTTACATCACTTGTTTTAAAAATAATAATTTAAATAAATTCATTCAATTTTTTATATTTCTTTTTTCAAATTAATATATTAGATATTCAAATATTTTTACTCATATATTTATACTAAAATTATTTCTCGTAGAAAAATATTAAAATTATTTCTACCATGTAGTAAATTTATAGAATTATTCAATTTTTTTTATAATTTAAAAAATATCAACATTACTAAAATTTTCAAATTTTGAGATTGAAATGGTTGAATTTTGGTCTAATTAAGCTACAATTAAAGTTTTATTTATTAACTAAACAATTTCTATAAGTTTTCGTGATTTCCACAAATGTTCTCAAAATTTTTGTCAATATCAATATGTACTTGGTAAAATTGGAAGTTCAACATTGCTCTCGATATCAATATTTCAAATCTTGCTTAAATACGTTTTATTATAACTTAATTAATAACATAATTAAGCACGACTAAACTCTCAATTGCAAATTAAAATAATTTTCACCAATTTTCACACGTCTCTATAGTTATTTATGAAATTTTTATTGACATCGATTTTTAAATATAAATATTACTTATCTGTTTAGATGTGATGATTAAAAATTGTCAATTATAGCCTAATTATACAATTAAACTCTCATTTACTAATTTAAATAATTTATATTAATTTCCATAATTTACAAATTTCTTTTTGAAATATCCGATATTTTCATTTATCAACATTTTTAATCTTGGTAAGACATTTAAAAAGAAAAAAATATTAAAAAATAAAAAAATATTAAGAAAAAGAAAGAAATTGTATTAAAAAAAATGCGACCCATGGGGTTAAGCCCATGGGTTTCCAAACAAGGAGTTGGCTTGGGATGGGGGGTTGGCTTAGGATGCCAAACCCATCCCAAGCCAACCCTTTGAGCCAAACAGCCTCTTAAAGCTTTGATAACACATTTATGGGAAAGAAACCCTACTTCTATGGCAGGAATAAGTAAAAAAATAACTAAACAATTAAAATAAAACAACAACACTAAAGAAACACAATAATTTACATGAAAAACTCCAAATCGAAGAAAAAAATCATGGTCGACAAAAAAAAAATAGATGTTGATTGGGTCCCAAAAGAAGGGATGTTTTTGGGGGAGGCCCAAGTATGAGCTAGGCCAGGTACTACCTTACAACCCAGCATGTTTGCTAGTTGAGAAATATGGTCATCTTCACAATTTATCCCCAACATCTCCTACTTATGATTGTTCACATTTAGGCCCGAGGCTTCCTCAAAGAGATTTATGCAAGAGAAAAGGCTCTTAACATCCTTTCCCTTGTGTGATGAGAATAACTAATTTTGCAGATTTCTTCGACCTACTGAGAATCCTTAAATGAAAGAGCTCGCTTCTACATTAGACAAGATCCTACTTAGACAATCAGCCACTAGGATGAAGAGAAATGGAGAGAGCGGATCATCCTGTCGAAGACCCCTCGATGCAAGGATTTTCCCCCAAGACTTACCATTAATAATAATGGAAAAATAGGAAGAGTTACACAACAGAATGTGTGGTTTCTTGGGTTCGGGCGGTGCATTACCAAACGTGCCCTAAGAAACCACACATTCTGTTGTTTTCAAAATTAACATACAATCTTGAGAATATTTCCTAAAAACAAAAAACAAGAGGCACCACCATATGCACGTTTCTCAATGAAAACAAAGAACAAAGAACAAAAAATAAAAACGTTACCAATCGGGCTCTAATTTATTCAAATATATAGGGTAGATATACATTTTGTTACTAATGACTGATGCCTACAGGCCTCCAGCAGCCAATATTACATGATTACAAACTTAGACAAACAAAACTTACCTAAAACTAGTTAGTAACATCACTTCTTTGATAGAATATGTACATATTCTTTTTTCAGATAAGAAACTTATATATTCCAAAGGAAGACAAAAGGATAGTATATGTACATATTCATAGGTATAGCTCTGATTATTGGGTATATCTATATCTAATGTGTAAATAAATAATGTGCCTTACTTCTTCAGGTGATCTGTAACATCCTTTCTTGTTGTTACCACAATTGGAGAGGTCGATAAACTGCGGTTATCGCCCGAACCCAAGAGGCCACGAACTTCCTTGTTTCTCTCATCTTTGCTAGATTTTGTTGGAGACGATGCAAATATCTGCACTGTTAAGCTTCCACCTGCATATTATTTATTTAACATCAGCAGGACACTGTAAAAAAGTCTAGCAAGTAAAATGGCGGTATGAACACCATATCTCATGGAATAAGATGCAAAGGAATACATAAAGTCTCATGGTAAATATGACTGTGTTTGGTGAAGTCAGTTAGATAATATGAGCACCACTTAAGCATGGTTCGATACCATCAACGATTCTTACAGGTTTTGAGGTTTATAAGTCCAAACATGTGAGTGATCATACGTAACACTGAGCTAGAAAAAAAGAGAAAATTGTTTCTTATGTTCTTTGGTTTGGATGTAATCCCTGGTCCGCTCAAGCACACTATGCTCTGAAAGGACTTCATAGAAATCCTCTTTTGGAGAACCGGGGGATCAGCGAGGCCTCTCTCGCAACTTTTCCTTACAGAGGCTCTAAAATGTGGTTAAGTCTGAGGGGTTTAGCATCAGTAAATGTTGGTCTAAGGACTCAGAATGGGTTGGAATCACAATTCAAGAGAAAACTTACTGACAGAAAAAGCAGGGAGTGGATCGAGATGCTAAGCCTTATCGCTCCTATTTACCAACAAACCAGGAAGATACTAGATGGTGGACTCTTCATAGCAGTGGATGTTTCTCTGTTAGTTCTCTAATCCTGGCCATCTCTATGAATCAAGTGCCTTCTGAACCTGTGTTGATTGATATTATTTGGAAGGCTAAAATGCCTAAAAAGGTGAAAGGTTTCCTTTGGGTTTTCATTCAAGAAGTTGAACACTTGTGATTTTGGTTCAGAAAAGAAATGTAAAGTTTTCTTCTCACTTAACTGGTGCGTGATGTATAAAGGTGATTTAGGAGAACCATCAGCATCTTTTTTCTTTCCAATGCCTGTTTTCTATTGCTGTTGATCCAGAGTTCTCAAGCCATTCGATATCAGTTATGTTTTCCTAATAGAAATGAGGCAGCTTTAATCCATCTTGTTAATGTACTCCGTTCAAAGGGGAAACTAGAGTCATTTGGTTCAGCACTATTATGGCTAACTTTACTTTAAAAAAAAATCTGTCCTTGCTTCTTTGTCTTTTTCTTTTCGTTTCAATCTCGCCTCCTTTTGAGAAACCATTGAACTTTCTTTTCTTTTCCCTTTTCTTTCTTCTTCTTTTTTTTTTTTTTTTTTTAGAAAAAATAACAACTAAGAAGCATTGAACTTTTAAGGTTAAAAAACACTTTTGGTTCTTGTACTTTGGCTAAAGTATACTTTAGTTCATGTACTTTAGTTTGCAACGATTTAGTTCCTATACTTACGAATTGATAATAATTTAGTCTTTGAACTTTAATATGTAACAATTTAATCCTTGTAATTTGAAGTTGACAACAATTTAGTCATTGTCATGAATTTTTTTTTGTTAAGTTTCTTATATATATAGATAAATAAACTAAGGAGGGACCAAATATGTTTATAACTAGAAAGATTAAATTGTTATATGATAAAATTTGACACTTTCATTTTAATAAATTTTTTTACGATAGAGACTAAATTGTTACAGGTTAAAGTTTAGGGACTGAATTGTTACTTTAGTGAAAGTATAGAGACTGTTACAAACTAAAGTTTAAGGACTAAATTGTTACTTTAGTGAAAGTAAATGGACCAAATGTATTTCTTAACCAACTTTAAATTAGTATTTCTTAACCAACTTTAAATTAGTAGTTTCATAATGCTGAAGTTAACGCACAAATGCAAGGCTAGGGAAGAAGATAAACCCGCTGACATATGGCAGTTTTATCAAGCAGAAAACACTTAAACTAATACAGGAAGAAACAAAATAACAGGTATGTACGATGTTATCTAGAATTTTTAAAAGGCATGAAAAAGTCACAAAACGCAGAAAGTTTATTCAAATGCATTATTGGCTAACATATATGGAAAGTGAAAAAAGATTTGGTCAGTATGTGTTCTTAACCAACTACAGAAAGATAAATAGCTTAGCTCTGATTGCAAATTTTTTCGAAGTTTACCTAGCACAAGAGCAGCACCAATCCAACCGCTCGGTCCCCACCTTTCACCAAGCATAAACCAGGCAAAACTACCGCCCCAGACTGGATCCAAGCTGTAAATAATGGCAGTTTCTGTGGCTGATACATCGCACATGGCAGCCATCTGGAGAATCATATTGTGTTGCTAAGAATTCATGCCTTAAAATTTACTTTTTCTTTTTTGGGTAGAAAAGGCAACTCTCGTAAGCAAATGAAAGAATGAAAGAGAATGCAGATTCATTTAGGCACCTTCAGATGCCTTATGCAGCATCTTTATGTTCATTGTACTTTTTAAGGGCAAATTTGTATGTGCCGCATTTGTATACGGATAGATATACATGCATAAATATAAATATGCACGTACAAATTCATACATACAAATATACACACATACATAAAAGTTTAACATATGTTCATAGCAACTAAAATGCACAAATGGCGAGTGCCTTATTGCCGGTGCTTGCGTAGGATATCACTCATGCAATGCACGTGCACCTCACATCACCCCTCGCCATAGTCAATTGCACAAATGCAGTGTGAAAACATTGATGATTACAAAACAAAGAAGTGAGTTTTCACTAGGACGTTTTCCCTTTGGTACATTTAATTCTAGAGTGTTTGTTTCTAATTTTTTTATTAATCGGTTAATTTCATATCTCATCACTAAATTTCTAGACAAAGCTAGGCCTTGTTGTTGACATTTTGAGTAGGTCCTAATATCCAATCCTAGAGGATGAAATCCCTGTTAATAACATTTTACTGAAGCTTGACAATATACGCTCGTAGTACGGCATTTCTTCCAACAAATATGTTAGGCCCATCACTAAATTTCTAGATAAAGTAATATCTTGTTGTTGACATTAATTGAGTAGGTCTTAATATCCAATCCTAGAGGATAACATTTTACTAAAACTTGACACCACACCCTCGTAGTATGGCATTTCTTTCAACAATTATGTTAGGCCCTATTGTGAATACTTACTCTAGGAAGAGTAAATGGGAAATAATTCCCAGACAGGTGGCTAGCATATGTTCAGTCTGTATAAGTCGGAAGGGGAGAAAGGAAAGAGGGTAGTCTAAGTATTGTTAGGAACATGGCGTGTTGGAAGAGAAGTCCAACCCTCTCGAATAGGCTGGAAAGATTTCCTTTTGTTTGTTAGTTCTGTGATTTCCTTTCATTATGTGAATTGATCTATTTTGGAACTCCCCATTTTTG